TCCTGCCTCCCGACCGGAGCTGCTCTGGTCCCTGGACTCCGAGGCGGCCGCTGCAGATTCCCTTCGCATCTGTGAGCTCTCGCTTTCTTCACAGTGAATGTCAGTCTGTCTCTGTCTCCGCCAGCGTTTCTGTGGCTTCGACCTAAAGGTTTCTCCCAGCAGAGCTGTTCGCATTAGAGCTGACTAGACTTGGTCATTCCAGTTCTTACACTGAGTCTGATGTGTTTTTTCCTTCTTTTTAAAAACAAAACGAAACAACAGCCCGAGACTGCTGCTGCGCTGAAGCGGACGATAGAAGCCCTGATGGACCGGGGGGCGATCGTGAGGAACTTGGAGAACTTGGGGGAGCGGATGCTTCCTTATCGGATCTCTGCCCACAGCCAGCGGCACCACAGAGGCGGGTGAGTTCCTCCCTGGGCCCGCCCCGGAAGGTGCTGCTCAGTTCCCCTTAGAAATGACTAGTCCCGCGCCCGGCGGTGTGCAGCTGCGTCGCCGAGCAGTGGGCGCTGCAGGTGGGTGGGGTGCTGCCGCCCATCACTGAGATCTGTACAAACAGGTGGTGCTGGGAGCAACGGGTTTACAAGCTTTCGACTGTGGGAGATGTTTCATTGTCACCCTAAGTCTCGCTTTCCCCGGGCATTTCTTTCACTTTGGCTTTGAAAAGACCTCGTGAGCAGGGTGTCATGCACATGCTCAGTGCGTCCTTCGTGAACGTGCAGGCTGCAGACAACAAGCCAGAGGTGCTGCCCCAGCGCCTAACCCACGGCATCTGCTCAGCCACGAATCGCAACTTCTTGTAATGGACTGTTTCTGTCACATAGTACAGGGCGTCCCCAAAAATGCAGGCACAGTTGGACAGCGGAGAGCTCCAGTTTGGAAATGAGATGTATGTTAATAAACACGGCCTTTCTAATTATGCAGAGTGTGTGTAGACGTTTTTGGGACACCCTATATATAACCACTTCCTCAAATGTGCCAAGGATTTGAGTCTGTGGTAAAATAACGGTCCCGTGTAGAAATTCTGAGCCCAGTTGGTTGAGTTGGTACGAAGCTTCTCTAAGCCCCGGTTTCTGGTGGAGGGAGGCCATCTCGCGTCGCTGGGTTCCCTGGAGTAGGGGTGGAGAAGGTGGAGGCAGTCGCTCATGCGATGGAGGGTCCCGGAGAAGGCTGGGTCTCCCTCCACTCGACACGCAGTCCAGGGGTAGGCGGGCAGGGCTGCTCATGGCGGCTGCAGTTAACCCTGCTGAGCCAGGGGCCCGGCACGCTCCCCGGTGGCTGCACCTGTGTGTGCTGTGCTCTGCTTCTCGAGGCATCTCTGCAGAGTGCCTGAGGCGTTGCTAGGCAACGTGAGTGCACAGTGGCTATTCCTCTTGCACCGTCATAGTAACAGTGAGGATGGAGGTTGTGTGTGTAGCATTAAAAACACCTTAACTGTACAGGGGTTTGGTTTAATGGCAAAGCTGTGTGTGGGTCCTTTGGCCTTTTTGTTGAAGAGGAGCACATAAATGTGGCGGAGAATGGCGAGCCGGGTTCGGGGGAGTCGGCCCCTCATGTGCTTTCAGGGGGCGCAGCCGGCGCTCTCCTCTGCCCTTTTCTGGGGGAGGACGCGGAGGATTTCACGGGGAGGGTCGGTGTGACCCCCTGGAGCGGCGCCTCTCCCGGGTGGGTGGCGCTGCTGCCGGCCGAGCACCGCACCTCGGGCAGCCTGTGTCCACGTGGCGCTGGGCGGGCTGGCGCTGCCTCCCTCGTGGGTGGGACAGTTTCCGATCCTGGAAAACCCCTGGGCCTGAGCCAGAACCGAGAAGACAGCATCGCCATCCCTGGTCCTGCGCGGCCACGAGCTCCTGCTGTAGCCCCTCGCTCGGTTCACTTGAGGATTGACCCCGTTCTCCTTCCGCTCAGCCCACAGCAGAGGGGCAGCAGCATTCTCGGCGTGTGCGCTGTACACAGACACGGGGAATGGGGGCAGAGGAGCCTCGGCTGACGCTTGTTTTCTGGGGTACATCGGTGTCTGGTATTTTTGTTGAACGTGTGGTCTGTGAAGCGCTGGTTACACAGGCCGGCGACGTGCGGTGTCTGCGTCAGAGAGGGTGGGAGCTCGCACGGCCTCACCTTCCTGGAGCCGCTGTGCAGTCAGCAGCTCTTCCTGAGCTGCCCTGGCGGCCGCGTCCGTCATTCTGGCGGGGCCTGACTCAGCCCGGAGGCTGCTGTGTTGGAGCCGGTGTTTCGTGGCTAATGCATGAGCCCCGGTGCCCCCCGAGACTCGAGACTCACGCCGTGTTGTGGAGCTGCTGGTGTTGCGTTTGTCACTTTTACATGTTGCGGAAGAAGGGGTGTGTCCTTGCGGAGTCCTGGGTCTCAGGATGGCTCCTGTGATGGTCATGGCTGCCGATCGCCAGTCTTCAGTTGCGTTGGGCGCTTACCTACACGCGACCAACCTGGGCACCGCCGGCCGTGAGGCAGGACCCGCACAGAGGTTCGCCTGCCCGGCTCACAGCCAGGCATCTGCAGGGACGTCCCGTCATGTGGGGTGACTGCCTCTGCCGTTCCCCACCCTCCCCTCCTTCCCGCATCACACCGCTGCCGCACACGTGCCACGTGGGCCTGAAAGGAAAGCAGGTGGAAATGGCTTAGGAGGAGAGATCCCACAGTTAGGCTCAGCCACGGTGGGTGACAGCGGCCACTTGCTTGTTATTGCATCAGGTCCACGCATGCAGTTTATGCCAAAAAATAAACATGCAGTCGTTATAGTCCAGATAGGAACTTGGTCAGCCCTGCGTCAGGAACAGGCAGCGCTCCAGGAAATGTGTCTGTAAGTCTGTTTGTCCTGGGAACTGTTTCCCATTGGAACAACCTGATGGCCACCTTCTCAGGAGGATCACAGAAACGTGTGTAACCGTCTCGGGGTGACAGCGCACATTCTAAATGTCGCCGAGGGAGCCTGGCCCAGGCCTCCTCTATCAGGGACGGTGGCATCTCGGCCATCATCTTAATAAAAACTGATGAGATTGCTTTCCAGGGAAGTCACTTCCCACCTCAGCTGTCCCCCTGGCCGTGTGCGTTTAGGAACAGGGAGCAGTTGCAATTGGGCCAGGCTGGGGTGCAGGGGGAGGGTGGGCCAGGCCGGGGTGCGGGGGGAGGGTTGAGTCTTCTGCCCCTGCTGTCCAGGTGGAGGCCGGAGGCCGTGTCTGGAGACCACGGAGCAGGCCTCGGAGCAGGTTCTTCGAAGGCCGGGGTTCACTCCCGCTCTGCATTTGCTTCAGCCTCGTGGGGGCCCCTAGATGTTCTCTCCTGTGACCCTTTGCGTGCTCCCTGGTACCTCACACCCCAGGCAAGGGGGTGCAGAGTGAGGCCGGCCGGCGCCACGGGCAGGAGGGGCAGTGGGAGTGGTGCTCATCAGTCCTGCAGGGTCTTAGCTGCAGGAGCACCTCAGTGCGTCCCCACTGCGTGTGCTGGTTCAGCTCTCCCTCCACGGGCTGGGGCTGGGCCGAGACCCCCGAGAGCTGGGGCTGGGAGGGAACAGCCACGCCGTGGCCACCCCGGGCCGGCCTGCGTTGTCGGTAAGGTGCCCGCTTGGCCTTGCCTACGGCTGCAGCGACATGGACTCGGACACAAGCCCCGGGAGGCTCTCTCCCCGTCTGTCCCTCTCTCTCTGCTTTAAGACGTGGATCGGTGTGAACAGCAGAGACTTGTGCACGCAGAGAGCTGCCCTCTGTTTACGGTGCGCGGCGATAAAAATAACTGGCTGTGGGGAATCAGTGGAATTTTACTGACTCGCTCCCCACATGTGTCTGCAGCCCGCTCCCGGAGAGCTGGCACCAGCCCCGCGGAGATGTACGCCCTGCCGTGGTCTTCCCAGCGGCCAGCGTGCCCATGTTCTTGTGCAATCCCATGTGTTCCCATGTCCCCGTGCATTTCCATGTTCTGCATCCCCATGTGTTCCCATGTTCCCGTGCATTCCCATGTTCTTCTGCATTCCCTTGTGTTCCCATGTCTTGTGTGTTCCCATGTCCCATGCCTGCCGGCAGCGTAGTCCGCCCGTAGCCTGCCCGGCCTGTGTGCAGTTCTCCGTGGCTGGCAGGGAGGCTGCAGCGGCCTGGGCTGCCTTAGTGGCGGGCCCAGGTGTGTCCGAGCCTCAGGGGGTCGTCACTGCCTGGGGGAGCTGGCTTCAGCTGGTCCCACCACACAGTCCAGGACTGGCATCCAGACAGTCTGTGTTCTGTCTCCAAAAGGCTCCAAGATGCTTTGGCTCCAAACCCCTCCCCTCCCCTTGCCATCCCCCTCCCACCGCGAGCCACGGAGAGTTCAGTGGAAATTTCCACTTGTCGGCTGGGGGCAGGGAGACTGTGAGTGAGTGTGTGACTGTTTGACAGACAAAGAACCCAGCTCCCATTCAGGCAGGCGCTCTCTCTGGAAACCCGTGAACGCAGCGCTGAGACAGTGACATGAAAAAGCCACCACAGCCGATGTTGGAGCTTTGCGGGAAGACGCCCTCCCTCAGCTCCTGGGCGGGGTGAGGGCCCAGGGAAGGGGCAGAAAGCACCGAGCGGCCGGCTCCGGGAAGCCGCCCAGGGCGAGTGTTCTTGGACCTTTCCACTCCGGGCGCATCGGTCCCGGGGAAGCCGTTTCTCGGGTCGGGGGTATCGGTAGTGAGTCTTGAGAAATACGAAGGTGGGTAGGTTGTCATGGTGACCCGAGGAGCAGGGCCTGCCTGTGAAACAGGGCCTGTCCTGCCGGCGGTGGGCACGGGCATCTGGGGTGAGAAACGCACTGGTGTCTGGAGCCCCTGTCCTCCCCCCAGAATAGCCTCCTTCCTTCCGCTGATGCCAGGGTGCTGCGGGCCGAGCTCAGTGCTTCTCCACAGCAGCGGGCCTGGCGGGAACCGCACACGGACAGCGCCCTTCAGTGCGCCGCCGGTGCCGCCGAGCAGTGGTGAGGGGCTGGGGATGGACAGCAGTAGGTCTTAGGTGCCGCGCTGGCCAAGGGGAGAAGGGACCCGAGCTGTTGGGAGAACGTTATTTATCACCTTGTTTCTCCTGGAGCACCAGCTTCAGGGGTGTGGGCAGTACAGGTCTGTCATAATTGTAGACTGTTTTCCCTGGAGTGAGGGCTTGTGCGAGGACGGAGGTAGGAACGGGTCCACGTGGGCTGTGACTGTGGGTTCTGTGTTGCGATCTGCCTCTCGGTGAGGCGGTGAAGCACGTGGTGTTTCCTGTGGTTGCTGAACCCGGGACCCTCCCCTTCCAGGGGGAGGAAGCGGAGCAAAGGGCTCTCCGCAGCCTCTGGAAACACCAGGCCCCTTTGGGCCCCTTGAGCAGCACCTCCTCTGCATTTCAGAGTGGCTTCTCCATGGCAACCCTCAGCAGCGCCCGGGAGCGGTGTCAGGGGAGTTTCAAGGTCA